TGTGCTTCATCTGCTCATTTTTGCTAAAAATGCATAAAATCCGTAACTTATTACAATTGTTACAATGTAATAATTTACAGTATGTAACTGACAATAACTAAAAGTCTAATAACTTATTACACTCAGTTCAATATCAATCGCTGGACTATTTTTAGAAGATTATATTATGAGTGCATTGATCTAAATACAATAATGTTTTCAATTAGCAGAAAACCAACATGAAATCAAATAAAATTAATTTTCGTCTCGCAATCATTTTTCCTTAAAAATTAATATCAGCATTTTATATGGGGTCAAAGTACTTATAACGACAGTTTAACTACACTAATCGTGTAAAGCTGTTTAAACTTGGTCAAAGTTTCAGCTTAACGGATGTGTGAAACTCATTAGAGAGATTGTAACCATTGCATGAGACATTTCACAGTTAAATGAATAGATTTAAAATGACACACTGGCCCCAAAAGCACCGCTCTGCAGAATTAAAGTATCATAAAATTATAACCGAAAAGTGGTCGGTCCTTGAACTTCTGCAACTTCGAGTAAGAAATCTTACGATAACGCTACCTGTGCTTATTTTCAACAGTAAAATCTCTACTTTCACATCCTGGAAATCTACTTTGACACCTTCTCGAATGGAATAACTTGAATATCTTTTTGAGTTGTTAGACCGACTAGACAATGAGTAAAACAGTTTTGCACAAATTGCAAGTAATTTAAATGATAAAAAATATAAAAAGCGATGTATTTACAACCTTTTTTTATCCAAGCCTGCAATTCGTTTTGTAGATCTCGGTAACTTAATATGTATGTTCAATTGCAATTTATGCAGAACATTCCGAAAAAATTCAAGTCACTTGTTAAAGTTAAAAATCTTCTTTTCGAAGATAGTTTTTTTTTATTAACTAAAAAGACTTCTGAAGCGATTATACAGGATGTCCCAGAACTCCCGAACTTGCGATTTCTGCGCGACCCTAATTCGCGCTCAGATTGCGCACAAAAATGGACAATTCTACGTTCGTATAAAAACACATGGTGTACGTTTCTATAAACTGTTACCATTGTGCAGTTCCACCAGAAATTTGTTCTCACACTAAAATATATAAAGATATCTCGTCTCCAATGTTACAAATCTATTCCGGAAAATGTACCGGCTGTATAATGATAATTTTACTCAAACGGAAAATCAATAATGCGTTCAATTAAAGAAATCTTTCTTTCCTCGAACACGTTAAGGTTTAATAACTTCATCTGTTCTTCGAACGTTTTTCCGAAATTTATAAAAATATAATGAGAACATGTCAAAAACGCTTGATTACGTTTTTTCATAGGAAAATCTGCTTTCTGGAACAGCAAATTCTCCCTTGTTGACGCTCAGATTGCGCACGAAAATGGACATTTTGGAAAGAAGAGATACTATTATTCGAGCCTTGTGTCTCGTTTTTATAGTTGTTGATAATCGGTAACTATAAAGACGAGGCGCGAGGCTCGAATAATCCTATTTCCTCTTCCCAGATTATCCATTTTCGTGCGCAATCTGAGCGCGAATTCGGGAGAAATTACTGTATTCACAAAAGAAACTCTGACTGGTCTCTGGTTCCTCGTTGTTAATAACTGATTAACGAAACCACATCGCTTATGTGCACAATGTACGTAAAGAATAAGTCAACAAAAATGATATTGTTTACAGCAGGCCGACGGAATACTTCCCGCAAGTGACCATTTCCCCGAACTCGGTGTCCACGACCGACAAGTACCTGTCGTCAGCGTCGAGCGTCACCGGCCACGTGTTCAACTCTCTCAGCCCGGTGACAACCCCGAGATTGTCAACGGTGGACCAAGAGGGCCGCGTGACAGCGAAACATCCGACCGTGACAAGAAGCCACTTTATCCCAACCATGGCTCCGGTCAATGAGATCATTACAACAACACCGTCCGCGGCGCAGACGACTTTCCCGCATCATTCGACCAATTCTTACATTCACTTCACCGTTAGGCCATCCAGTGAAACCTCTCCGACGACGAAGCCGATTTCTACTACCGGTAGACCGGTGACCACCTTACATAATGAAAATATCATTTACCAAGAGGGCTTCGAAAGGTCCACGCCGTCCCCCCCGACGGAATACCCATCCACGCAGAGCCAGTCGCAGGAAAGTTTGACCACGCTGCTGAAGCGGGAAGGGCTGTTCGCGATGACTAAATATCTGAGGCAGTCAGGGCTCGACACCGTGTTGAACGAAACAGGTGAGTGTGCGATGAAATTCTACTACTGCGAGCCAGGCCCGCATTCGAGTCAGTAATAAAAGGAGTAATACAAATCTCGTAGACAGGCTTGGTGAAAAAGTAGATTTTTGAAAAAGTATAATACAGAATTTGGCAAATAAGTATTCCTTGAAATAGTATTTACATATGGAAATAGCATATTCAAATATACAAGGTGTCCCAAAAATGTTCCGCAATTCGGAAATGGGGTTCCTGAGGTCACTTCAAGCAACTTTTTCCTTAACGAAAATGCAATACGCGGCTTTGTTTACGAGTTATTAACCGAAAACAGTGACCAATGAGAGGGGAGCTCGGCTGGCGTGAAGCGGCCGAGCCGACGAGCGCTCGAAGCCCAGTTCCGCGATACTCATTGGCTCGGCCGCCTTGAGCCAGTTGGCTGGGCGCTTCGTGCGCTCATTGGATGAGCCACCTCCTACCGCTAAACGTTAAGTACGTCAAAATGATTAATTTGGAGTGCGTAAAGGTGAATATGGTGTACAAAACAATTAACTTAGGATGCAAAAAGGTGAATATGATCCAAGAAAGGATTAGTTTGGAATGCAAAACCTGTATGTTGTAATTATCTCGAACAGTTGGTCAATTTCTTTCGCCAAAATGCGTTGTTCTCGCAAGTTGCTGACAAATTCCTCGAATTTTCAGCTTACTACATTACATACGCCACTTTTGGAACTGGTACGAAACCAGAAACACAGCGGTGACGCATGCGTAGAAAACCAAGATAGATCGTAATTCAAACATTTCACACACTATTAAATTGTATTTGTGTCTCACTCACGTGCATATACTGTAGAATCACTTTTAATACTTCCCGCTCCTAGTGTCGACGTAATTAGAGTGAAGCTGTAAACAATAGAAATTGGCGTACTTCTGACTACAAACACGCTGCTGAAACCGGGAACCATATTTGAAGATAGAGCATAATAGACTTCCGTTATCGTAATCCGTTTTCGAGAATGGATACAGCTAATGCAAACGTACTAACACAGCAGAAAGTGTTCAGGAACTCTCAACAGAATTCTAAAATAATTCCTTTTTTGAATGTAACTTCGTTTCGTAACTGAAGTATTACCAAAAATTTCGATCTTCTTCATATTGTTGCTATTTATTCAGTCATGTTTTGATGCGAACAGTATTAAAGGTTATTCTAAAATATCGTTTTTGTTAATAATCTTGAAAAATATCTGTTTTCATTGCTAAATTACTTTTGTATCTGCGAAAAAACATTTACCATTGATTTTCTAATTATTCTTTTATACCATAGTGTATCACGGTAGTGCATTCCTTTTTTTACAAAAGGCAGGCTAAAAGTCTGTTTTATTTTTTACCACGACGATAATAAAATTAAAAAATGTTTGAAAATGCATTCTTGATGATTAAGAATTAATTTTACAAATTATTTAAATTTTGAATTAATAATAAGAAAGTAATGAACATAAGTAAAATATAACATAAGATTCGCTTCTTTAACCATTTATTTCATCGTCATAAATAGATTATACTATCATAAAATAAATAGTTGCAATTTAAAACAGTAGTACAATTTAAATAACTCGAGGGCACTAACATATCGTTCTCAACTTGTTATTAAAATTCTTCAAGAAAGAATGAAGATCCGCGTAGACTAATCGTAAATTATAGTACTAATATTCACTATTTAACTATTATAAAAAACGAGAAGCTAACATTCTATGAAAATAAAAAGATTAGAAAATTCTGTCACGTTCGATGAAGCCACTAATAGGTGTTTTATAAATTCGAATCTGGTGTATGTTTGATCAGAAAAAAGTGCATTGCAGGATACACTTATGGCGGCTAAATTTTATTCTTCACACGACTGCTAGTTACTTCCCACCAGCTGGTTTTATTCATGCAACATTCATTCGAAAAATGTTCTCACGGATAACCGAGGATTTCGACACGGTTGCCTCTTCGTAGGAACAATGATGGCCTTTTCTCGTTATCCGACACTTTTGCGTTACAAAAGCTAGGTAATTACGTCTGGCAATTATCGACTGTTACCTTAGTTGATCCACATAATTCATCGATTATGTCCTGTGCAATTTATAAGTCAATCAATGGTTCCGGCATTGCGTATCATTGACAAGTATACTGGCGTTTAATTAGAGGCTATTGAGCAGTCAGTCACGAATTTTTGTATTGTAACGAATTATTGTAACGAATTTTTGTATTGACTGTTCACCTTGTTCCAATAAAAGCATTCGTCATCTAATTCAGTAGACCAATTGTTCGATTACATTTTAAGGCAATTTTAATTTTTCTTTTTTTAATTTTCGTGCAAACTAATGACTGTTATTAATTATTACAAAATCAGCTTGCGCAAAACAAGTGAGCAAGCAATTAGATTGCGGATTTGTATGCGATTGTTATAGTTAGACATTTTTAATATGTAAATAAATGCTAATAAATATTGTCTGTATTAATTGTATAATGCAGAAGGTCATTTATTTCGTGTCTTCATAATTTTAGTGAATTGAAAATAATACGACAATATTTTCTATTTTTTGTTTTAAATGTTACCACTGATATATATTTGATTAATTAATTTTTCTTATAAGCGCATAAAATCCACAGTCTACTAATAACCCATTAGCTAAAGTAAAAATCAAACTCTTTCCTCGTTCAGGAGTAGAAGAACCGTAACGATTTCTCTTTACGCCCATTGATCCATGACCAGACACTAATTACTTCAATGATTAACCCTTGCAATACCAACGATCCAATACAGAAGACGATGCGGATACATTATATGTACTTTCGCTTATGCAATTACTGAGATCCCGAACGGTGCAGTCGAAAATTTGCTTAGGAAAACAATATATAAAACGTTCATCTATTCGTAGCACAATTAAAATGAGGATAATACATACTTCGAAAAAAATAAGTCGTAATTATGCAGTCAAATCTTTTTTACATGCATCATTATTCTTTTTATTCACATTTATATCATCTGCTCATGACTTATTATATTGGGTTGGCAACTAAGTAATTGCCGATTTCAGTTATAGATGTCTCTCACTCCCATTTTTACGATGTCCGTAAATGTTATATTATAAAATTATTATTATTATTATTATTATTATTATTATTATTATTATTATTATTATTATTATTATTATTATTATTATTATTATTATTATTATTATTATTATTATTATTATTATTATTATTATTATTATTATTATTATTATTATTATTATTATTATTATTATTATTATTATTATTATTATTATTATTATTATTATTATTATTATTATTATTATTATTATTATTATTATTATTATTATTATTATTATTATTATTATTATTATTATTATTATTATTATTATTATTATTATTATTATTATTATTATTATTATTATTATTATTATTATTATTATTATTATTATTATTATTATTATTATTATTATTATTATTATTATTATTATTATTATTATTATTATTATTATTATTATTATTATTATTATTATTATTATTATTATTATTATTATTATTATTATTATTATTATTATTATTATTATTATTATTATTATTATTATTATTATTATTATTATTATTATTATTATTATTATTATTATTATTATTATTATTATTATTATTATTATTATTATTATTATTATTATTATTATTATTATTATTATTATTATTATTATTATTATTATTATTATTATTATTATTATTATTATTATTATTATTATTATTATTATTATTATTATTATTATTATTATTATTATTATTATTATTATTATTATTATTATTATTATTATTATTATTATTATTATTATTATTATTATTATTATTATTATTATTATTATTATTATTATTATTATTATTATTATTATTATTATTATTATTATTATTATTATTATTATTATTATTATTATTATTATTATTATTATTATTATTATTATTATTATTATTATTATTATTATTATTATTATTATTATTATTATTATTATTATTATTATTATTATTATTATTATTATTATTATTATTATTATTATTATTATTATTATTATTATTATTATTATTATTATTATTATTATTATTATTATTATTATTATTATTATTATTATTATTATTATTATTATTATTATTATTATTATTATTATTATTATTATTATTATTATTATTATTATTATTATTATTATTATTATTATTATTATTATTATTATTATTATTATTATTATTATTATTATTATTATTATTATTATTATTATTATTATTATTATTATTATTATTATTATTATTATTATTATTATTATTATTATTATTATTATTATTATGTTATTTTTTATTATCCGTGAATGTTAGCAACTGGACAAATTGAATGCAGCGGTCAAGGAAAAGCGACCAGAATTGGTCAATCGTAAAGGTGTCATTTTCCAGCAGGACAATGCTAGGCCGCACACGTCTTTGTCCACTCGGCAAAAATTGATGGATATTGGTTGGGAATTGATGTTACACCCACCATATAGCCCTGATCTCGCGCATTCGGATTACCACTTATTTCGATCCCTGGACAACTCCCTTCGTGGTAAAACTTTTAACGATGATGACGCTGTAAAATCTCACTTAACTCAGTTTTTGGCCGAAAAGGATCAGACTTTCTACGAGCGTGGAATCTTCAAGTTGTCAGAGAGATGGCAAAAGGTCATCGAACAAAATGGAAAATACATTACAGATTAAACTTCGTTCCAAGTAAAAAAATTTTTTATTTCATTGAACAAATCGGCAATTACTTAGTTGCCAACCCAATACGTTCATAATATACACATTAGCATCGTCCTTAATTTTCGACTTTCTATGTTTGCTAGTTTTACCCCCAAGATTATGGCACTCGATAATTTAGAAGCAATCGGACCACGGGAACCTGTGTCGCATTTGTCTTAAAGTTTAAAAATATTAATGATTTCATTTCATTTTCAAACATAATTGTATTACGTTATTTTAGAAACATTGTTAAACGCTTTTTACTAAAATATAATACCTTAAATGAATAATGACAAGCTCTTTGTGTTACTTCCAAAAATATTCAGGGTGTTCCATAATTATGTTAACACCCGGAAAGGGGTGATTCCTGAAGTCGTTTGAAGTAACTTCTTCCTTAGCGAAAATGCAATCCGTGGCTTTCTTTGCGAGTTATTAACGAAAAACATTTGACCAATGAGAGACGAGCTCGGCTGACGCGAGACGGTCGAGTGGAACTGGACGCCGCTCTCGTGCCGCGCCACGCCGCCGATAGAGTACAAATGTGTTTACGTGTTCACACTGGCAGGCAATTCCGGTCCAGGCTTGCTTCGTCCATAAGTCACACTGTACCAAAACGAAGCGAGACGGAACTGGTACGATGTGAACAGTACGCCAAATCTTTCGTTTCAGCGACAATTTTGTTTACAATAACCATGCTTGTATATACCAGATCGTGTTACCTTCAATAATTTGATTAGCGAACGAATTTTTAATAATGATTTACGTAACAAATTTATTGCTCTATAAATACATATAGATATACATATACATTTTATTGCTAAAATGTAAAGTATATTTTTACATTCAACTAAATAGTCTATAAGTGATAGTGAATTCGTAGTGTCAACACATTTTTCCAGAAAACTACAACTGTATTGTTTAAGACGATGCATATAGTTATTATTGGATCTCTGATGAAGTTATTGAAAAAAAAACCGAACTAGTACCCACAAGTCTGATCAATATGTTTATTACTCCCTCCGTATTGAAATGATTGTCCTATTTGCATAAATTATATGTAATATAATCTTACAAAAATTATATTATGTTTGGTCTTATTTTTTTTAATCAGAAAAGAAGCTCACAATTGCATTGGCAAAAGCTCCATTAAGAAAAACTAAAAAATAAAAAACTTTCACATTGCGTTATTATCTATCCTTCATTTGCTGTCCTCTTCCACGTTCGGAAAAGTACGAAGGAAACACTTCCGAGGCTCATTTACAGTATCCGAGAAAATACTGTAATTTTAAAGTAAAAAATTTTAGAACCTGCTATTTGCCCGGATCCTATAAAGCTAGCATTACGAAATGTTAATGTTCTCTGACGTATCATATTGCAGGACCGTACACGATATTCGTGCCGACAGACAAAGCCTTCAGGACACTATTGGTTCAACTTGGCGGCCCAGAGAAAGCAGAACAGAAATTCCGGGATAATCCACGACTTCTCAGTGGCGTACGTTCAATGAATTTTTAATGACATTTCATATGCAGTGGAATCTCAATTATCCAGGCTAAGCAAAGTGATATAAATGATCTGTTAATAGGACAGGGATACTTGCTGTCAATGAAACTGCTAGATATTATATATGTATATTGATTTGTACAATAAATCGTCTTGCATATGAGTCGCTTTAGATTCAACTGATTACGCGTGAAACGTGTTCCGAGAACAGAGAATTTTAATGTTGGATGTCTGGATAATCAAAATTCTACTGTAATATAATCTATAATCAAGCGTGCATAATCAATTAAAAATAACTTCTATAAACGTCTATAATCAATTAAAGATTGTGGAAAATAATGTTTAACTACGCGTGTTTTCGCTACAGCTCCTTCTGCATCATGTAATACCAGGAGGTTTTAGGATCGGCACTTTGCAAGACGAAATGACTGGCGTCAGTTTAGCTGGAACACAGCTCAGGGTGAACGAATATGCGATGCATGATCACGAATGGAACGACGTAAAGGTACGCCGATGAACTTTTTAATTAATAGTTTCATGTTAATTCCTAAAGTCGAAATAATTTATGAAATATCCTGCATGACAAAAATTGATGAAAACAAAAAGACTCAAACAATGAGCCTGCAGTCTTTATTTTAGAACGATTACAAACTGAACAATTTGATTCGTAAAATTATCGTAAAAAAGGCAAGTCCGCATCCCAAGCTGAATTTCTATCTCTTTTTCATTGTTAAACACGTTCCGTGCCACGTGTACCATCGATGGTACACGCTTGCATGTTTACTTAGTGAACTGAACAAATTGTTTACAAGAAATTTAGAACCGAAGAATCAATTTCCACCGCAAGAATGGGCGTTGATAAGTTTTTGTTACGTTGTTATGTGTACGAGAATTAATAATTGCACGTAATACATCAAGTTTTAGTAAAATATCAAAGTGTGAAGATTCGAGTAAAAAAAGCTCGGCGCGGAACGTGTCAAATATCTTTTTTTTATTATTACTATATTCGTGTTCAACAAAATAAACTTCTAAAATTTGTTACACTTTGTTGCCTAATTCAAATAGATTTGTTATTGACTGGAATTAATGTGAGCCGTATCCATATACACATATTAAATTCTATTGAATGATAAGTATATTCAAAATTTCATAATTATATTAAATACGAAAAAATAATAAACGATAAGCAGCAATGAACAGAAAAAGTAGCGAATAGAATATCGGCATGAGAGAAAATGTCATATAATTCTGATCGAGAACACAAACTTCATTTTTACTTTTTGCTAGAATTTTGTATACATTTTTTTAACGCTTTCTTTTGTTACATATCATTTCGAAGTTACGTTGTTTTGACGGAAGAATTACATGTGGAGGTACATAATCGGAAATGAATGTGAAGGAATGTAAATGCCTTACAAGTGACTATAATTAAGTCTGGCAAGAAGGATATAAAAATTGCTAATTACATAGATCGCTAACACTGTCCAAGGAGGTACATACACATATCTGGATACGAAACGAATGACTCACTATCGATATTGCATATGGGTCCACCTTCCATCGATATACCATTTCTTGTTGATCCAATTCGTTGACCTTCTGCATAGAACGCGCTGGAAACATTCCATTCACTCGTAAATAATGTATGATCGAACTTTTTAAGGGATCGTTTGTTCTACTAACGTATCAAATATAGAGATGTATCGATTTGTTTGCTCCCGATACGATTTTCTACCTTTACGGATCCGTCGCACAATTACGAAATCGAAATTTTGTAATTCACGCTTCTTGAGATTGTAAAAATAAATTTACGAGGAATTTATTCAATAAAGTTATTTCGATACAACAAAAATGGTTAAATTTTAAATACAAAAATAATGAAATACAAACAAATACAAAAAAATGCAATAAACACAATTAAATGCAAAAAAGATCATCAAGTACAATAAAAATCGTTAAAAATCAAAATAAATACATATACTTATTTTTATGTAGCTGCTTTTAGTGCTCTCTTTTAGTGACATAAACCCAGTGTTAATGAATCATTAAAAAATTGTCAACAACATAAAAAATCAAATTGTTTACGAGTGAATAGAATATTTTCAAAGTCAAGCGTGATTTAAAAGACGACGAACCAATTAATATTTACACTTTCAAAGGATAATATTTACACTTTTATCGTGGAGCATAGACATAACAGAAATATTCCGCATGAACAATCAATATGGTTTTATCAATATGGTCATAATAATAATTTGTCGGAATAAACGACTTTGATCTTTTTATTTGTTATAATTTTATTTGTATTTATCCAAGCAGTTAACGACGATAAATGGAGCGAAAGTGGCGCCAAATAAACGTGACATCGAAATTCCTCAAGGGATCGCTCATGCTGTGGACAGGGTGATGTTTCCACTTCCGGTCGGTGATTTGGTGCAGACGTTGCAAGCTGATCGCGAAAGAAGGTTTACCACCTTCTTGAAAATGCTTTACATTTCCGGCCTTCAAGATACTTTATCAGGTAAAACACCGAAAGTCGATCGAATTGGCCAAATTTATTCAATTTTACCTACCACGTTGCGTCGTTACATTTGAAATTTCATTCTCTTTTCTATCACTCTCAATTCTGAAAAATAGGATTCATAGAAACAAGACATATATTTTTAAATTACAAATGCGCATGCCGGGTTTGCGCAAAAAGAATTTTGCAGTAACTTTTTCAAAATTGTACTAAACGACTTGAATTTCTTTTTTGAGATGTTAGAAGGACTAGTTTACTAAACAATACAACAAACTTTTTTGCAAAAACTGCAATTGGTTGGAACGATAAAGAAAACTAAAAAATAATGTGTTCTAACTTTTTTATCTGAACGTCTAACGAAAATTTAAACATTACATTTTATAGCTCTCGGTATAGCCTTATTATTGGCTTATTATTGATATCTTGTCCGTCAGTTCTTCGTCATTAACAGAGTCACCAAACTAGTATAAGTACGATTATAAAATGATTTTGTTTCGTCGATACTAATTATATTATATATTTCTCTAGGACCGAAGACATTTACCATCTTCGCTCCAACGGACTCAGCTTTCGATGCAGCAACCTCGAAAGACGGAGGCCCGATATGGACGGAAGAAGACGGGCCGGAAGCGGCGAAGACGATTATTACGAGACACATTTTACCATCTACTCTATACACAGCGGGAATGAGGTATTATTTGCAGAAAGATACTCTTCGTCCTCAATCGCCCGTTCATATTCACAAAAATGGAGGTGAGTACAATTATTTATGCACAATGAGAGATACGTAGAGATTAATTGCAATGTTTTCCTTAATACAATGTACAGAGTGCGGACAAATTATTATACTCAAAAAATTTTTCTACTTCCATTTCTTCTTTCTCAAAGGTCGTAGTTTTAGTTCGCTTAATAATGCAAAAATGTTATGATTACTTCAAATATTGATTAGGTACACGATCTGGCAACACTGAGGTAATATCTCTGGTTGCAAAGGAGAAAGTCGGATATCATATATTTTCACTTCTGAGATATTGGCTTATCAAAATAATTCTTCATATTAGTACTGCTTCCTTGATTTTTTTACTTATTTTCAACCTATTGAATTTGTTCTCATGATACCTATTATGAAGAATTTGTTAAGAAAAATTAATTTCACACATTTTTAAAGATATCATAGAGGTGAAGCAAAATTAAGAACTTCATGAAATATGTCATAAATATTTGCATTGTGTATATTTGTATTTACATGTTGTACGTGCATTTTGCTTAAAAAAAAAGATCATTAAATACATATGTATGTATATTTAGACATAATAACTACAGAATATTTATTGAAGAATTTTTTGAGTTGTTATCTTGATAAGATTGTGAGAAATGAACGTTTTGTGTTCAGTATGCTCTTCTTTTTGTTATATAATAGTGTATTCTGAACAGTGAGACACAAGGTAAATTAAACGCTGGCATTGATTCGTTACATTTTTTAATTATATCAGTTTAAAGGAATACATGAAACAATTATAAAGAGTTTCCTTTCCGTAAGAACTACCAATTAACACGCATGTCTTGAAAAGTCGGCGTCCTAATAACCCATTTGCTCGTGAAGCAGTGATAATTAACGCTCCCTTTCATGCTACGCCACGTGAAATCGCGCAAGATTTGACACCATTATTACCGATACGTTTCAAATTGCTAGCAATTATCGGTAGCAAATAGAAATCAAGTCACCGTAACTTTCATTCTTATGTCGTTACATTGATACGTGGTTCATAAGTGACCAACACTATCGTAATAGTACACAAATAGCACAAAAAACAGTAACATGAGAGAAGGAAGTAGGGAACAAAATCTATCGATACAGATGCAAAAATAGATCATTTAAAAATTTTGTTCTCAAATGCAAATGTTCTCAAATTCTAAGTCAATTATACACGCATCGTGTGTAACAAATGATATAAAATCTTCAGTAAGTTTGCTGTTTATCGTTCAATATATAGGGTATCTCAAAATTATGGTACTTCCGGGAAATGAGGGATTGCTGAGGTCACTTGAAGTAACTTTTTCCTTAACGAAAATGTAATCCGCAACTTCGTTTACGAGTTATTAACGAAAAACAGTGACTAATGAGAAGCGAGCTCGGCTGGCGCGAGGCGGCCCAGCCAACGAGCGCACGAAGCCTAATTACGCCGAATGGCTCGACCGTCTCGCGCCAGCTGATCTCGCCTCTCATTGGTCAGTGTTTTTCGTTGATAACTCGTAAACGAAGCCGCGGATTGCATTTTCGCTAAGGAAAAAGTTACTTGGAATAACCTTAAGAACGCCTTATTTCCTGGAAGGACCATAATTTTGTGACAAATGTATAGCTGCCCTATATAGCTGCTATAGCTATCCTGGTATAGTTCAGTATAAACCAAACAGAAAGACCCATCTTCTGAAAAAACAGGTTGTCGCAATATACTCCAAGCTTGAATGTTTACATTTCATCTTTGCAAACGATAAAATTAGTATAAAACGTGTACACATCATAATAATGTAATGTCTATTGTAAATTGATTCATTGTAAACGAAGGGTTAGAACGAAATTTACTTACGCACGCGAAACAGTATAATTTTACACGCGAGCAAGGTTCACAGTAAAATAAGTCACGCAAGGAGTGGGGTAAGTAACACGTGCAACGGGAATCCTGCACAGCAACGGGGCGCATCTACAGAGTGGCACCTAAAGGTATTGTATCGTACCTCGCACCCTTATTTTTATACCTGCTAAGTTTGGGCGACGCGAATGCAGTCACCCGATAGAGGCGCCACGTTGCTGTGCGGAACTCCCGGCGCATGCGTCACCAACCCCACTCTTTGCGTAACTTATTTCCCTGTGAACACTAGGCACGAGGCGATGCAGTGAAGGTCGCCTCTCATACAACCTGTTCCCACTTTACCAATCTGGAATCTCGCACCCAAACCTGGGAATCAAAGCTACAAGCTACGCCGATCTCCCCTACAAGGTGTTCCAAAATAATATGTTAAAAAATAACTCGGAATGAGTTCCGAGGTTATGTCAAGGTTATTTACTCAAGGTTCATATATTCCTTACATAATTGCATTTTTTCGTGTTGCAGGTCGAGTAAAGGTGAATGAAGCAAACGTGGTAACACATAATATTCCAGCAACAAATGGAGTTCTACACGCGATCGACGGCGTATTATAAGCGCGGAACCGCTTGACGCCGTGCTTCGAAAACTCGAAAACTATCTTACAATCAGTCGCAGACCAATCGAAGTATTTCTTCAGCTCTCTATATTAATCTCCGACTTGATTTAATTTTTCGGTTCGCGCATTTATATGCGAAATGTTTGCATTGAATCTTCCACCCTGTTGCTCATACAGTAAGGGATAAAAATATTTATATCGCTGTACAATAAAAATATAAAAGTAAAAGTACCGATGTTTTTCATAAGAAGAGAAAAAAGAGATGAAGAAAAGTTTATATGTATAGTTCCAAACCATAATGTCTAAGAACAGTTCGCAAGGTCATTTTGGAGGTCACTAATATCTTGTACCTATGGCATTTTGGTCTCTTTGAAACAATTACGTAAATGTTACTGTTAAAGCACAAGAAATCTTAAAAATAAAAATTTTACATCTTTTTGAACACTCTGATGACGGGGCTCGGGTCCATTTACAGATATATAAGTATTGTTATATGGCTATTTAGTTTCTGACAATTAACTTAAGTTCTCACATGTTTCATAAGGGGTACCTTAAAAAATATGTTGACAAAAATTGATAAATAAAATTATAAATGATCGTAACCATACTCAGTTATAGTTTTGTGGAAAAGGTATTAACAGTAGACTATTGTCAATTTTCAGCTCATTGTATGTTCCTTTCTACTCGCTTCAAAGTTTAAACATGATTAACGATTTATTTATTTATAAAGGTTTATGACTCCATATGTCGGCAAAAAGTCTAGGTCTAGAACATACAATGATCTTAAAAACAAGTTTCTTATGTCCGTATTATTGTAAAAATTCTAATATTTTTAAATGTACGAATACTTCATGTTCTACACTGTAGACATCCGAACATACTTGGTATCTTGGACTTCACGAATTGACCAATTTGATTAAAGGCCCTTAATCAAGATATTTTTAACATAGTATTTTCAAGGTGTCACATACATAACATGAATATAAAATGGACTTAATATTGTACCAATTTCGATAGAATGTAAATATTCTATTTAGAAATAAACGAAATTATAAAATTAGCTGACAAACTTGTAAAAGATATGTTTAAGCTTACTCGATCTAACAACTTTTGATTTGCAAAAAGTAAATATAATCTACAAAAGTATTCATTTTAGGAGCAAAACCCGTATAGCAATGCGGGAAAATCATGTCAGAGTGTGGAAACCATGAAGTTACATTTCTTGAAAATTGAAGTGTCCGGATATTATTGAGCAACATGTAAACTAACAATGTAGATAAGAAACTTTGATACTTATGCAACAAACTAAATATATGGAAAAATAAAACAAATAAAACAGCGGGCCTTCGAAAACGATTAAATGTAAACTTGTAAATTATAGTTTAAAATTTCTTAGTAGTAAGTTAAGATTATTATAAATACATATTAGAAAAATGATGAAATGTTAAGTTCTCATTTTTCTTCATATTTATATCAAGAATTTTATTTTTGTATGAAGCAATACGAACACTATGATGTCGCGCTCTAAATTAGTATGAAATTGGTAGGAAAAATTCAAATTATTCGCTTTCCTTCGTATTTATATTATAACTGAAAATTATTTAGTACTTCATATATAGAAGTTATAGTTTTTCCAAATGATTCATGTATTCATAAATGAAAGAAGTTTCTACGACAAGTTCAATAACTAACAAACTCGATTTGCCATAGATGTAGCTAAATTAAACGAGGAAAGGATAATGGGACATTTTATGTGGTGTTTATAGTAAAAGTACTATAGTTAGCCGAAGAAAAAATCATTTTCCAAGAAGAATGTCTAATACCACTTTCTCTTATTAAGAATAAACGACTGCTATTAAGAGCAAGCTTTATGAAACACCAATTAAAATTTCTTGTAAAACGATTATTAACTGGTAAATATTCTTTCTTCGGTTAAATTGTAACTTGTGCAACGTAGAAGTATACTCGTTTGTGTGCTTCCGACTACGCAAATGCGAAAAATGAATTATTATTCTATAGAGTAATAATGCAATACCATGAGTAGTATTATTGGAATGTGTATTATTTTATAAATAAATGTACAGAATGTTTTTCATAAGTCGTTGCTTCCTTTTGTATTACTATTTACATAGTATTTGTACATGTATTTGTTCATACAATTTTTAAATGATTTGCAACGACCACATGTGTAATCATCAAAGCATTCAGGTATATCGATACAAGTGAGTTCATTCGTGAGCTCATTTTTGGCACTCAAAGTGTTTCTTGGTTTATATTTTTCGATTTCACTCTTTTTGTGAAACCGTGAAGTAAGAATTTAACTCTTATCTGCTTTCCTTCTCCTTCATCCTGATCGCCTTTTTACTACATCTGGCAATGGAGACAATTTTAAAATTGATTCATGAATATCAACAGCAGAACCAGTATACATGTTTGCACATCCAATGTCTCTCATTTCACTAAAAATTTTGTACGCTGAAGATGTCGTGGTCATAAAATTAGTTAAACTTCGCTGATCTGTTCTTTCTCCTAACGGAATATTTATCAGAGTGAAAAATTGAATCCCTTTTGATATGCAATAAAGTTTAGAATAGTTTACTTTGTTTTATGCTTTTATACTTTCGACATTTCACAGACGCATAATTATTGCAGTATTGTATGAAGAGCTTATCAAATCATATTTAAGAACATAAGTATTTCATTCTGTTTTGAAATCTTTATACCTGTTCTGTTTAGTCATATTAAGTCAAGAGGTGAATCACATAATTGAGGAAACCACGTGGTAACCATCCGAAACGGTTCTCCTTACTATCCGCAGTTCGCTTGTTCCGAAAAGAGTTAAATTGTGCAGCTTTTTGAACAAGATCCTTCCTTTTATACAATGACTTAAAACCTTTAGGAATTGTGGCAGGTACAATTCGATCGAGCAAAATAAGAGTTCTCATCACTTGTCCAATACATTGTAGACGAACAGGAGATGTAGGGAAGCAGTGGATTTTAATTGAAATTAATCTCGATTGTTTTCAAATATAATTTCAAGTATTACACTACATAAAATGGAGTTAACAAATGAAATAATACAATACTATTAATTCGTGCAATAGTTACTGTTTATGTTCCTCTTGAAGAAGAAATGTATAAAATTACAGAATGTGTAAAAATATATATCTACTCTCTTCTTGTAATACTTTAAAAAGAAACTCATATAATATCAACTTAATAAACAAATAAATAAAATAGAAATAAATTAATGACATTAAAATAACGAAATGTAAAAGATCTCGCATACTATGATAAACATATTTCATGTTTCATGTTTAATTATCAACAAATACCATATTGTGAATATATCTTTTTAAATAGCACATTTATAAGTTAGACAATTTCATTTTCCATATAAAATTATCTTCAATTTCTTTGAGAGGCAATTTTAAATATATAATATGTAAAATATTTTTAAAAAGATTCAATTGAATTTTTAAATTCGTACCACACGAATAATTTAAAATCTTTAAAAATCTAAAAATTTGTTTTATATTTCTTGATTTCGACCTTTATATGATGAATATTTGTCAATTGTGTTCGTGCATTTGGTGGAAGAATTTTGTGAAGTCTATTGTAATATTGCACTAATTGTGTCATAGCATGTTGTACCAGCGCTGTACCTAACACAAGACTAGGAAATGATTTTAATACTTCACGATTAATTTCTTCCAATGCCCGCTTCCAATTATTTGTAAAGGATTGCACAAGAGCTAATGCTTTCCCTTCTTGTCTTTTCAAATCATCACCCTGACCTTTTTCTATCAACATTTCTGATTCCTTGACTAATTGTATTATGCCACCAAAATATGGAGTTAAAACTTCTTCAACATATTCTGCAGAACGTGCATTTAATTGTTCTCGAAAACTCTCTGCTTCTTTAGTGGTATGGTCACCAGTTCGTCCCTAAAAAATATAAATGAATCATTCTGTAATTATAGTTCATATAAAACAAAATGTAACACTTCATGAATGAATTATAAATATCTTACCATTAGTACACCAAGAACTAAATCGTAATTATTAATGAGAAAAACTAATTGTTCAATTCTATTAGGAAAAATAGTTGCCATCCTTAGTAGAAAACATTGAACAGCTTCCCTTAACTCTGCTAGTAATTGTATTGCACCATCACAAGGAAAGCCTACAACTATACTGATCATTGCAGCACTAAATTCGGCATATCTTCGTGTAATCTGTAAAAGAATGTAATAATTTTGTCCAACTCTTATATCTTTTTTTAAACATGGTGTCATATACATACATAATGAGGACCAGTTTCTTTATTGAGTTTCAGTGGGTCACAATCTTTTATGCTTTGAATATTCATTTGAAAAACACACTCAAATCTAAAATATACATATCAAGTGAAAAATTAAATTACATATTTCTTATTTAATTTATTATACAAATATGTTTACCTAGGCCAAATCACTGAAGTCATATTATCCCAATAATTATCTAAAGCTGGCACTGCTCTTTTATGACAAGTTAGTTGATATCGCATTACTAAATGTAAGCAGAGAAATAGAGCAATAGTATCATAGCAATCATCCACAAAAGACTGCAAGTTCTTCACCATCAAATTCAGCGTCTTCCCCATCACCTACATTTTATGTATACATTTGTGGTACTTATTTTTATTATCATTCTAAGAATTAAATATACAGCATTTATAATATTTTACCTGATTAAATATATCCATTGCTTGTGCATCACGAACTTTGAAAAATTGTGTTAAAAATAAATACTCTCTACAGGCATTATCTACAAGAGCATATTGCTCACTTCTAAATAAGGCTTCATAGTGATACTGTGAATATAAAATACATTAATTAAACTTTTATTATCTACTTGTTTATTTAACAGTTACTTACTCTTGTTTTCGATGCAGTATGAGGCACAATAATAGGTGCTTCTAATTGCGAAGTTAAAACATCACCTCTATTTCCTATAGAAAACACAGTACCCCTATGTTTCAATGGAGTCTTATGAAAAATTCCCCTTCCTATTGTATCTTCTACTCCCATTAGATCATCTTTAGATGCTCTTTCCTCAAACTATACAATTTAATAAACCTTAAATGAATATAATTTATTATGAACATAAAAAACTCTTCATATTTTTACATTACCTGCAATTTCATTAACCTCGAAGAATATGATTTGAAATAAGAATAATATATTTTACTCATCGTGGTAACATATTCACCACAAATTTCTTCTGCCACATTCCTTTCATTTGCTAAAATAAATTCGAAGAAAAATTTATACTTCAACATGTTATTCTGCGGCACTTGATAATTTGTCATTGGTTTTCTGAATTTGTAAATCTGTTCTAGCAGATATGTTCTAATCTTCGCCATTGCCTTTACTTTTAGTTTCTCTAAAATATCTTTTACATCTAAACAAGATTTAGCTTCTTTAAAAGTTTGTTCTTTCACAAAGTGTATTTTATGATTTAGTGTTTGCAACTGAGTTAAAAATTCCTTTTCTGTTACTGGAGAATCCATAATTCCTCTAAAAACATAAAATTGAATAAATTTATGTTTGATAAATTAACAACTATCAAAATAAAATATCAAAGTATGTCAAGGAATTCATTCTTACGCAATCAGAGCCTCTGATACTGTCATGTCCTCAATAAATTGACTAAGAGGACCTCTAATTGTTTGTCTATTGGATAATTGTTGACTCATTGCTACTGATTTACGTTGAAGAGAAAGTATCTCTGAACTTATACTTCCCAAGTCTGATTGAAAACTTTTTAACATTAATTCCATTTTCTGGAAAAAAATATACTTTTATATTGACGTTTGAATATGTATATAATATATCAAATACAACTACAAATGTTTGTCAATGTTTATAAGTAGAATGATCATCGTTTTGTAACAATAATATTCTAACCTCTAAAATATTATCACACGCAGCAATTTGATTATGAAGACTTGCTATATTTTCGCTTTCCTTAATATAGTCCTGAATAGATTTATTTTCTACTTCCTTTAATTCTTTTTCAATTTGTCTGGAATATTGGCGTAAATCAGTGCCAGTCTTTAAAACTTCTTGAACAACATCATCTCCAAGATCTTGAGGCAATTGCGCCTCGTTCCCATCGAAAACATCAGTTTCGCCTGACATTTTGAATACTTGTTATATTCGTTTAAATAATATCATTACTTTAATTTCTTTAAATTATATAAAAGAGCACTATGAACTATTCTCGTGACTGTACAATACTTCAGCTCAAGCTGTCAGACGACCATAAACATGATCTTATAAAGATAACTCTATTAAACACAGTTAACCTACAAGATCTCGTAATTCGGAGGTGTGTAGCGTTACACTGAGAAGGTCGCAGCAAAATTATCTTCGTTCTGATTGGTTGACGATTTGTGGCCAGACCAATGGAAGAATTATCCATCACAAACGGGATTGGATGATGTCAATGGACTTTCATTGGCAATCCATTGGAATTGTCCAATCCTATTTGTGAGATCTCCTCTTCGCCGCTTAGAGCAGAGTCCGAGCAAAATCCCTGACACCATTGGACACATTGGCCTTGAGTGAAAATTCCACAAACGGTCAGGATGCAGGAAGCCTGTGTTGTTATGCCTCCCACTCCACTACCACGGTGCAAAACAACGAGGGCCAACGTGTCACGTTATCTACCACCACTCTTTCGAAAGAATGAATTCAAATACTTGTAAAATAAGAAAAGGTAGATTTATTTTTTAAATAATACATGGAATGTATAACAAAAAGTGTATATGCACATCAACTATTAGTTTAAGCTATAAATATGGGCACTATTTATAAACAATAATTTATAGTTCATCTTTTTCAGACACAGATTCAATATCTTTTACACTTCCAATAAAGAGTGGTATGTTATATGGTTTATGTTCAATTATAAACATAAATGGTCGATCAACCAAAAACTGTTCTGGCGTATATATCATCCTTCGAAGTCTTATTTGCGCAGCTAAAATAATTCAGATACAAAATATTTACAGAACTTATTTAATTCTACTAAGTTTAAACATACCTGTTGCAGCTGCAGCTTCTGTACCTTCTTCATTTACTTCTATCATAGCTTTATGTATACATTTGCTAACTTTTAAAGGTACACTTGAAATATACCCAAAATCTGCATTATCTTGAAACATTTTGTTTAAGCCGAGCTAAAATATTTAGAATTCATTAAAGTATAGAATTCATCATAATCTAATGCATAAAAATGTAGTATCAATACTTTGCGTAAAATATCTTCTAAATCCACCATAAATTCTATTTTAAATTTTGGAAGATACAATTCAATGTCAACATTTGTTCTAGATGCTTTTTCAAGAACTTCCCATGTAAAATTGTTTTGTAAATTTGAAAGTCCATCCACTTCATTGGGTAATATTATGGTCATTACGATATCTTCATTCTGTAAAATATTTTTTGAACGCTTGATCCAAAGTAATTATATGTTTGAACATACCATATATGGAATTTCAATAAATTTTGCATCCAATGTTGGTATTTCACCATGACTGTAACTAGATTTATTGAACATTGTTGCTACCATCTTTTGTTTACTTTTTGTCACATAAAATGTTTTTTTTTGTGTCTGTCTAACATTAAATTTATGTAACCACATACCATTAAAATAGATTGCATTTACTAATATCAACTTCACATGTTCATTAAAATCATCTACGAAAAATATGAATTAATAATCTAATACATTATTTGTTTATATTTTAATAATTTACCTGAAGACACAAGATCAGAAATTTTATGATTTGTTGCTTGTTCAACCCATGTGTTAATTTTTTCTGCTGCATCTTTGTTATGTTTAAAATCCAATTTTGAAATAACAGATTTATAAATACTTTTTCCTGTTGTCAAAAATTCTTCTAACAATTCAAATCCTTCTTGAATATATATTGCATTGGCAATATATAATTTAGTACTGTTCAGTTCCTAGTAAATGTATAAATCAAACTTTATCACATCCTAAATTGTGTTTTAAATTAAATAGTAACTGTCTCACATTTAAATTAGTTATTAGAGATGTATAGCCTTCTTTTATGGAATTTTTGTCATGATGATGAAGAGCAGACGATAATTCGCTTAACGTTTCATTTTTTGCACCATCAGAAAGCAAAGACAAGATCATATGCAAACTTAATGGAGAAGTAACAATATTTCCATCACTGGTAAGTGATAATTCCTAAAATTACGCAAATATTTTTTATATATATTTCTTGAAAAAACTATATTTCAAAGTAAATTTGTAAATACATCCATACTCACTGCATGAAATGCTTTTGTGAAATTGGTGCAAGAATCAGATAAATTCTTACATACATTTGTGCTTTCTGCAGCCATATTAAATAATTGTGTTGATGCAATTATAACACATGTAGTTAAAACTGTAAAACAATAATATATTTATTGACATCGTAATAAGTGAAATGATTATGTGTACACTGACTGTGTGTAATGATTAGATGTACATCACCTGTAGATAATAAAAAACGCATTATTTTCATAAATAAATATTAGAATATTTTAATACGGTGGAGTCACCTAGTCAATCTCAAATATAATTTAACAAGAGCAGTTATACTTGTCATTAAGATTAAAGAAACCCTAACATATTTTATTTCATATTTTAATACACATTACAAGAAATTTGTTAATTTCTTTTATTTCCAACTTTAAAAGGTCTATAATATAATAATTAATTAGTATAGGGACCTGTACAAATTAACTAATTGAAACATTTTGAAACGTTTACATTTGTGTACTGTCAAAACTGTTTAAGAGGTTAAGTTTCACAGTAAATTTCAAATATAAAAATAGCGGCCCGCTAGGTACCTGTCAGAACAGAAAATAATCGCCGAGACACAAACACAAAGCGCGGGATGCTGTTTAATTTTAAATGTCTGTTTAAATAACGTTTCAAATCAATTTTGTGCGTTAATGTTTCTGGTAACTTTCTGCACTATTTTTAACCGTGACTGAGGTAGTTATGATCATCTAGCAGTACCTATAAGTCTTCGAGTAAATGCCAGTTGAAATTATTGACAATGAGTCATAAGTATAATAATGAAAGATGAAGTGTGGACTTCATTTTTCCCTTGATATAGAAACATTTTCTAAAAAATTAATATGATGAAATGTATATTCGAGTTTTAGATTGCAGAATAAAGCAGAAGTGAATTAAAATTAACAATTATTAGCATCTTTACAAATTCAAAAATGACCAATAAACGTTATTTACCAAAAAAATTCGAAATATTCGGGCGTCAACAATTTATCTGTACTTCGAATTATGTTAGTTATCTTTGTTTGAACGTCAGATTGTAAAACAGATGAGAGGTAGCAAATTATGGACACATTTATGCTTTAAAAGTTACTCGATATCACGAGTTTCTTTAGTTATTTTTAATAACAAATTATATAATGAAATAACCGAGGGGGAGCTTAACAACATCGCTAACAAATGAAATTGTTATAAATGGTTACCGGGAAATAAATAATTTAGCAATTTTTCTCGATCACGGAGTAGAGCCATTGGTGGGGGTTCGATCATCAATCCTAGTTGGTATGGGAGTGTCAGCTAGTCTTGGCTTTGGCCTTGGAGAGTCTTCTAGCTGAAGTGGTATGACCAAGGCGCTGCCTTTTGGATATCAAGTAAGGCCACTTTTGGAGATTTCTCTAAAAGTGTATGTCCCTTTTTAAACATTTTCTTGCGGCGGGACCTGGGCAATTGATATCATCTTCGGTTCAAAAAATGTTACATATTATAATGCTTTTTGTGTAAAGAATAATATTGAGCTAATAGCTGCTAATCAAAAATTTTTTGATATTGCGAAGTAGAATATAAATTTGTAACAAATATATTGAACAATTTTTGAACAAAATGAAAATTTATATACTTTTGCAAGTAGGTGCGTATAACACTGGCCAATGAGAGGTGACGGCGCGAAGTTCGAGAGTCCGCAGCGCGAGGCTTTGACGGAAGGTCGGGACGGACTCGAGCCGCATTCGAAGTATTGAACAAGTCACGAAGCGTGAACTTTCCGGATTTTTTTTATTACGTAAAAGTGATATTTTTAAGAAAAACGCTGTTCTCTCGGACTCTCGAACTTCGCGCCGTCATCTCTCATTGGTCAGTGTTTCTCGTTAATAACTTCTAAATAAAGTCGCAGATTGCATTTTTGCAAAGGAAAAAGTTACTTCAAATGACCTCAGCCACCCCTCATTTTCGGCTGTTAAAATAATTGTGGAACACCCTGTATAAATTCAACGTTGGTTAAACTCATGTCGGGTTGCTACGTTTTCGTCGTTTTTTATTATTATTTTCACTTCTGTTTCAATTTGTTTAATTATCTCGTTCGTATCTTCGTTCGTATGTCTCAGAACTTATGATCTCACACTTAATATTGACTGAATTGCTACAGAATTTAAAAAAAATTTGTTTTTTATTTTACGCAACTTATTGCTTATTACGCGAGTAATTATGATCGCAATTATTTCGTGTTCACAAGTTTCATTAACGAAAAAACAAACATAAGAATTACTGTTTTTCTTTTTCAATTGCTATCCTTCTCTAATTATACCGCAAACATGTAGTACCTCTACTGTAACTATCACGGAGAAAATACTGTGTAGCTACAAGTCATTCTAGCTAATCAAAGGCTTGAATGGGTTTGTTGGCTTGGGTACTGTTGGGTATTCAATACTAAATAGATCTAGCTGTACTAGATAGCCTTAGGTAGCGTTTTTCTCTTTACCTCTATCATTACTTAAATTACTGTACCGCTAATCTTTGTTCAAGTAGTGCAAACAACCGCAACGTTACGCGTCACCGCCATTTCTCCGAGCTTCGTATCCGTCAAACGTGTAACATTTCATCCAGAGCACACCGCCGAAACGATCTCTATTGTGTACTATTTTTATAAATGATAAAAACTTTTGGAATCCCGTTTCTGAGAATACATTTAATCTAATATTTTTAATATAATTTAATGATACATGTAAAAGTAATTATACATTGCAATAATGGAACAATGGTACAAAAGTTTGATTCTTTTCTGTCCTTCGACTCCTTAAATGTAAGCTCAACTGGGGTATGATTGTAGGTATGTGGGAATGTAATAGGAAATAGTTTCACATGAGAATCGGTCTTAGGTTTAGTTAAACTATCATAAATAAATAAATAAATAAATAATTAGATTAAAGGATAAAGTAGCGTTGGTCTAAAATGAAAGCAGAAATTCGTAACTCACTTATATCCCCGTACTGATCACTTAAAATATTATTAAGTTAATTAGTCTGTCGAACGTTCATCTTTCACTTGCCAGATTGTTTGTCTACGATATGAATTTGAAAAATAAGATTTCAATCTACAACTTGCTTCAGTTCAGTGATTGGAAAACTAATTAAAACAATTTACAACATTATAACAATTATTCTTATCATTGGATTTAAAAATGATTTCCGTTTTAGATTGTCACTTTATTTACGGGAAAGGCCTTTATGATATACTATTTCAGAGAAACTATTAAATAAATGAAAATATTCAGTTAATATTTATTTCTTGCCTTCAACCAAAGTAAGTTGCAAATAAGCTTTAACTGTTGATTATCTTTAATCAATTAATGTCTCGACAGGGATATAAGTCAGGTTCTGTTTATATTGGAGTTACGATAAATAATAAGAGCGTCGATGAGAATTGAATTGTTGTTGTATTATAGGAGTGTTTACGTTGCAGCAACGAGCAGAGCAATATATGCATTTTTCTCAATATACCATATTTTACTAAACTTGAAGATAATAACAATTCTTCTCTAGAATCACATATTCAAATGTCTGAAATTAGGCTATTCGCCTAGCTCTATTACAAACAAACCAAAGAAAGAAATCTTTCGCAGCTTTTATCATAGCTCTGATCGATTCCAATATAGCTTTTATCGTAGCTCCAACATAAATTTACTCCTCCTAATCGGACTGCAATTTTTATACATTATATAATATCAAATACGTATTCAATCGTAAATCGATTAACAGATATAATAAAGTTATTGTTTCACTTTTCCCTTACAATTAGTTGATTTTGTAGCAAGTATCACAAACGTTCCATTCTGACTTTCGTTGTCTATGTAATTGTAAATTATTAATTTTGTGCATTCGTTACGTATTTGACTATATAAAATGAACTAAAATAGAGCCTTTATATAAATGCTTAATAGAAATTTGTGTTTGTATAAATATTTGCAATTTACACATAATTGAACCTAATAAGATGGCAGATCTCTTTATTCAGTTTCTATAGCAAGATATCGAGCAAAATATCGTACATAGGCGCTAGATATATGCTGAACGAATAATTACAATAAATAACGTTGTGCTTTTCAAGGACAATTAAAAATGAATTTGTTACGTATACGCTTGAGTATTTCGATAGTCGATCGAAGTTTCAGACGCGGAAGGATAATTCACTGGTACATTAGCGAATAAATAAATATCCCAACTACCATAAGGAACCTCTCTAAGTGAAATGTAAAATTTCTGTGAATTTTACGCGTCCGAATCTATCGAGACGAGATTACTCCCGGTGTGTAGTACCATAAAAGTGAACTATGCAGAATCCGGTCAAGTTAGTTGATTTTTATGGTACTATTGGATGGTTTCACTAAGACCAACTGCAGCGAGGATAGAAACTTAGGCGGCGACCACTGCAACTGGCGGAGGTCGAAGCATCGATTTCGTGGCCGACGACAGTTTCTCTGATACCAAGTGAGCAATGTGCGACGATCTCTTCCACACGAATTCACGCGTTCTGTCGTGGTCGTCGGCGCTCTCCACTCGAACCTGTATCAAAATACGCAGGTGTAGTGTAATCCGGCATTTCAATCATAGAAATCGACTGGGTAAATATCACGGGTACTCGTAAGTAATATTGTTTCGACACCGCTGAAAACCAGCTTTCCTGGTGTTAACCATTGTCTTTTCATGCGAATTGATAAATAGAATCGATTTCTCATCTTCACTGACAATTTTTTGTAAAACGTATTTCACCCAACAGTAGATCGTTGTTAAATTCAATGGGTCTCCCGAATTTTCAACCGCCGTAAAAATCGAAATCACCGTTTTTAAATTTTTTTAATCAATGCTGAGACTTTTTGATATCCAAAACACAATATACAGGATGTTTCAAAATTATTGTACAAGCGAGAAATGTGGGGTTCCTGAGGTCATTTGAAGCAACTTTTTCTTTAGCGAAAATGCAATCCGTGGCCTCGTTTACGAGTTATTAACGAAAAACAGTGACTAATGAGAGCCCAGTTCCGCTCATTGGCTCGGCCGACTCTCATTGGTCACCGTTTTTCGTTAATAACTCGTAAACGAAGCCGCGGATTGCATTTTCGATAGGGAAAAAGTTACTTCAAATAACTTTAGGAACCCCTCATTTCCCGTTTGTACAATAATTTTGGGACACCCTGTACAGCACTTGTGACACTAGTCCCACTGTTAAAGCATGCATCAAATATCTCATGTCGACCTTATCCCAATTTTGACCTCCCATTTTATAACGGCATATCCGAATCCTTTAAAAAGTTCGCAATAAACACACTAAATGTCAATTAAAATTAACGATTTGCGTAATAGTAGGTCACGTCCGCGAACAAGGTAGGAAATAAATATTTGTATATAAGATTGGACAAAATCGAAGATAAATCGTGTCACGCGCGTACCTGTTTTGGTTGTAGAACTCGAATAGAGTTTAAGGTTGCGGCACCACCGTGAAGAACTCGAAGACTCAACTTTCCGGACATTTCAGCGGTGGTTGCAGTTGCACTTCTCAATTCTTTCTTCGCGGCTCGGCCGAATTCCTTCTCGACTTTTAGGATTAGTGGTCCCAGGGTGAACTTCGTTTTAATCATGGTGTGGTCGCTCATCATGTTCACTGAAACATCGCCCGACCTCTGAAGGCTCGCGAGTCCGTAAAGCGTAGCTCGAGCTTTTGGCTTGTTCTTCTTCGCCTGAAAGGTAATGTTGCAGATTATTCTACTGACTTGTGAATTTGTTTATATACATATCTTTCATGTTCAAAAAAATTCAGTTTAAACAAATCATACATAATATTTTCTTCATAACTGGCGCAACTTCGGGACTGCAGAGTTGCAGTTATGAAAGAGGTATTACATTCATCGTAGTATTTAAATGCAAGAATAAAAATTCGCAAGAAATATTTCTTAAAAATACGTAACTATTATATATAAACTATAGAGTGATTAAAATATTTCAATTGGTAACATTCCAGTAAAACATTTGCAAATAACATTATTAATTTGTATTGTCAAAAAGAGAGAGCTAGATATTCCTATTAAGAATTACGAGAATATTCATATTGAGAACTTATAATGTTAAAGAATGTCATTACTACTGAACTTTTAAATTTACTTCACAATTTAAACTGCCAAATTTTTAAATGAAAAGAAATATGTAATTACCTTAGTTTTATTTGTTGTAGATTGAGCTTTCGTCTTATTTTTTGTTGTGGTGCGATTTTTATTAGTTTTCTTTGCGTTGGAAGAAGAGATTTTTCTGCTTGGGAATTTTGTGGCAGTTTCTACGGTCGATCTGCTTGCAATTTCAGATGTGGTAACTGTTGATACATCTTTCTCCGCATTTGCCGCAGACGCAGTTATATTTCCTGACGATACTATTATTTTCTAGAAATGATTTTAACCGATTAATACAGAATTAATATAAAAATAAACAAATTATTTAAAAAGTCAATATAGCTTAGTTAATTCAAATACTTCTTCATGCATAATAATCATATATTATACAACACAGCAATTATTTTACGTCAAATCCGAAATGGAAGATGCAAATATATTCTTAGAATTTTGAAATTTTTAAAATGTTAACCTTGGATCAAATTTTAGTTCGGATACCTATTAAAGCTAAATAACCGTTTTAGAATTGAACCAAATGATTTGAATAATTTTGAGATGTGATTGACTAGAGCAACTAGTTCACTAGATAATTGCTTGGAATGACAAAAAGAGAAAAAGAAATGTGACAAATACTTTTAATTACAATTCTTGAGAAAATGTTTCTATATATTCCTCTAACGTCTCAAAAAGATTTAAATCATTTGATGCAATTTAAAAAGATGAGAATATTTTCGTTAGTCACTATACACCAATGTATCTGCAAGTATACAAAGTGCCCCATAATTATGTTAACACGCGGGAAGTGGTGATTCCTGAGGTCATTTGAAGTAACTTTTTCCTTAGCGAAAAAGCAATCCGCGGCTTTGAATACGAGTTATTAACGAAAAACAGTGACCAATGAGAGCTCGGCTGACGCGAGGCGGCCGAGCCAACGAGCGGTCGAAGCCGAGTTCCGCTGATTGGCTCGGCCGCCTAGCGCTACGCGAGCTTGCCTCTCATTGGTCACTGTATTTCGTTAATAACTCGTAAACAAAGCCGCGGATTGCATTTGCGCTAAGGAAAAAGTTACTTCAAATGACCTCAGGAACCACCCCTTTCCGAGTGTTAATATAATTATGGAGCATCCTCTATATATTTAGTAGTCTCATATCAAAGTCAAAATATCACTTATTAGGTAGAGATTTAAGGTAGAGGTTTAAGTGTAATACCTGCGCATTATCAAGTGGAGTTTCGCTCATTTTTTCATTCGTAGAGACCACAACGGAGTTAGTGGTTATCTTCGCTTCTGTCTTGCCGGTCTTCTTTTTTAGTTTGCTTTTCGTCTTTTGTTTGTTCAGTTTCGATTTGGTGTTCGCGTTCGAAAGCTTTACTGTCACCGGATCGTAATTGCTGCGCAAAATTTTATTGATTCTCCCAAGGATTGTGTCTACGAAACGATTATACTTCGCCACGTAGATCGCCGATACGTCACTGCTTGGCTCTGACTGCATAGCACCTAAAATATATTATTACTATACTTAGATTTACCTCAAAATTTCCAGAGAATCTTTTTCTACGGATTATTATAGAATGCGAACTCTGTGCTACTACAAGCATAATGAGTACCATTGACCTAAAATAAATAGAAGTGATTTGACACAATAATAATCATGTGCTAGGTGCGTGTGGAATACGTGCTATTTTTTCATTAACTATCCCATTATTTACACCTTTAAACCGTAATAGTTCTGCGATAGTGTTCACGAATTTATCACAGAGGTTTTTTTATCTTTTTACATATTGTTAATACAGCCATTCGTTTAGGTAGTGAATTTCAGATTAATCTAAATTTTTGCCTTCGAATTAATAATTTTCATCACTACTGACAAAGCAAATCCGATCTTCAATTGCGAAAAATAAGAATATTTCATTAAAAAGTATAATAAAAGTATAAAGAATAATAAATAATATAAAAGCATGATAGTTTTGCAACTTTTTTACAGATCTCAGCTACGAAAAAACTGTTCGATAATTATAAGAAATCTGGAAATTTTAACATCTCTCAAAAATTTGTTTAAACATTGTCTAGTATAAACTGGTCCTTCTAACATCTAAAAATATTCACGTCGATTAGTCAAATTTTGAAAAAGTTATTTCATGTCAAAGAGCCGCCGAATATTTTTCTACGTGACTGATACTTGCGAAAAGAATTGATTTTGAATTAATTTCGAACTGTCAGCGAATAGTCTAACACTAAAAATTCCAACATTGTATTTATTTCAATGTTTCATAATTTGTATAATAATGTGTGTCTGAATAAAGAAATACGTATTTAATGATTTCCAAATGAAGTTTGCTTTATTATCTCAGTAGTCATAAAATGAGAAATATGAAATGTTGGCCAGTGGCGGCACGTTTAATGTTAAATTTCATTGATATTGTTACGGTACTGTCAGGGAAATGGGTCAGAAAGTTCGACAGCTTTCTAAATACAATATGAATGGAGCTCGGATGCGTGTCCCCTTGAAAAAAGGCAGAGTCGAGCCACACAAGTAACCCAATACAACATATTACATATCTATTGAATATGTCATAAAATAAAATATTCGGCAATTACCACCAAAAAATCGTAATGAATTAATACAACCATTTGTAGAGGAGCGACTAAAAATACCACCAAACTTTACAGAAAAGTTAGTAAAATCAATGCCCAGCCATCTAGAAGCCATAATTTCATCTCAAGGGTACCATACTAGGTATTAAGAATAAATAATAAGAGCAAATATAAGAGTAAATAATATACAAAGATATATTAAATATATAAAGAGTAAAATGATGAGTAAATAACTTTTGTATAACAATAATTTCATTAGTGTGAAAGTAGACCAACACTCTTTTGTGCGTTCTATACACGAGACAGAAACCTAGACAGATTACAATAAAGTCAAAATGAATAAGCGACCACATAAATTCAGTTACTAAATATAAATATTATCGGTAAATGTATCCAAATCGGCAAGCCATTAAATCAACAAATAATACAAATGTAATTAGTTGTATTATCAATTGAGAACATTAACACTAAACCTACCAAGACCTAAAAATAACTAATATGTGTTGCTTTACAACGTCAGAAAGACTGTATCTATTTCGATCTTTCGCTGTCTCTCATTTTTCTTAAATAATTTTAATAAGTTAAAAATACTACACATCAAGATTCTTAATTCCGGGAAATGGAACACTCGAAACCTCGAAACCCCTCGAAAAGGTCTCGAAACTTGAAACTTTGTGTCATATTTGCGACCCGAAACTCTCGAAACCCAGGCAAATAATAATTTATACGAACAACTTATAAAAAATATTGCGTCGACATGAATCTATTTTTATTGAACTAATAATAATCCAACTGTGGATTTTACCAATCCATTACGATCGTTTACATCGAGAAAAAATTAAATTATAATTACATTAAATTTTCATCTGATTACATTCAATAAATAATTTGACCTTCTGAAAAGAATTGGTCAAGACTTCAGTTCCTGGCAAATTAGGTACTCTTCAGAAAAAAAAGAAGAAAAAGAATAAGCAACCGGTTTTCGAGAGTTTCGAGAATTTCAAGAGTTTCGAGACGAGACAAAGTTTCGGGTTCGAGTATCGCGAATCTAAAAATCCGGTCTCGACCCATCTCTATTAATTTCATTTAATCGTTTCGCTCCGTTATACTTCACCAGTCAATTTTTACCGTAAGCGCCGTAAAATCCACGATCTAATAATTACGAATTCAAAAGAATGATTAAATGTCACCTTATTTCATAGTATTTTTAGCACGCGTTTTCTTACTTTTGAGTGAACACATTGAGCGTGATAGGTAAACGAATACTTATGCGCCCCACTGTATACTGTTTCGGGGTAATTTGTGTCCCGTCGGTCAATGCGTTATGCGCCGATCTCGATCACCTCGAAGAAAGTGGCTTAAATAAGATCAACGACCGGGGAGAGTTTTTAGGTGGGCACGAGGAAAGGTTGCCCCTCGCGTCTTCGCGTCTACACGCAGAAGTAGATAGGTCTGTAGGTGAGTAGGAAGCAGGTCGTGGCCCAGATCGAAGACCAGTTTGGCTTCGCCGAAGGATTCCGACATACCGTTATCATTGTCGCTCTTTCTTACGAACTTAATTCATCGAGGTCGGCACACGGAAGTTTTTTCTGTCGATTCATCGCATAGCTTAACGCTACGCGTGAGCTTAACGATGCTTCATCATTTATGTCCGCTGGCCGACAAACCTTGTGTACGGAAATAGACGGTCGAACAGTTCCTAATCCCAGACGCAAAACCAATATACGCCTAATTTTACTTTTCAATATTTTCCGTACGATCATCGGCAAATGCATCGAAATTGGCAAGCTATTACAATAAGTAGATTGCGGATCTGACGCATTTATGGCATCCGCAGATCTTTTAACGACAAAAAAACGTATAAATAAACAAGATTTAATAACATTTTTTTTCCTTTTACAATGAGTAATCATTTAGTCGACGGAAGAATCTTTTCTTTAATTATAAGTTTTGCAAAATGACGTATAAGCAGTCATAATATTCATAATACGAGTGTAATTAATTGTATTCATTGTATTATCAATTAGGAATATTTAACGAAAGATTCCATACATTCAGTTGCCAACTTGTTATTAAAATTTCTTTGTCACCTTAGCGTGCCCGTGACTTACACGGGCACGACCGTTACGAGGTTAATGCAACGCGGATCTGTTAACGGCTCAACGTATTCGATTATTCATTTTCAATGATAGCACCTTCTACCGGAAGCCTATTAATCGAATTTTCAGTTGCAGATGACTTATTGGTATACGATTGTCATTAAACAATTTATTCAGCGGTTTTAACACTGTGTCTACGTCACACAAAACAAATAATCTATATATGGGTGACAGAATGATTTGCTACGAATCGGGAAATTAATTTTTACTCAGATCTGTTATATCTGCCTAATTCCACGCAATCAGTAAATCGTAAGAAAGTTGAAAAAGTATTTAACACTAAGTTTACGGAGCTCTAAGAACGGCTGTTTTATATTGCTTCGTAAAAACAACTAGTGTAATAATTATTCAGATTTATAACAATGAAACAAATTCATTGAATAAATTCGTCCAAAACTTTGCGAGGTCTCGAAACTCTCGAAACCCGGATTGCTTATTCTTTTCCTTCTTTTTTCCTGAAGAGGAACTGAAGTCGTGACCAATCCTTTTCAGAAGATCAAATTATTTATTGAATGTAATCAGATGAAAATTCAATGTAGTTATAATTTAATCTTTTCTCGACGTAAACGATTGTAATGGATTGATAACAAATTCAATTGGATTATTATTAGTTCCATAAAAATAGATTCATATCGTCGTAATATTTTTGCCTGGGTTTCGAGACTTTCACAGACTTGGCACAAAGTTTCAAGTTTCGAGACCTTTTCGAGGGGTTTCGAGGTTTCGAGTGTTCCATTTCTTGGAATTAAGAATCTTGGTGAAGTATTTTCAACTTATTATAAAATTATTTAAGAAAAATGTAATAAATACAGTTTTTTGTCGTTACAAAGTAACACACATTAGTTATTTTTAGGTCTCGGTAAGTATAGTGTTAATGTTCTCGATTGATAATACAATTATTACATTTGTATTGTTTGTTGATGTAATGGCTTGCCAATTTGGATACAAGTCTTTTGGGATATCCGCATAACAATATTTAATAACTGAATTTATGTGGTCGCTCATTCATTTTTTGACGTCATAAACTTTACAGTTTCAATAATCGTAAACTAAAAAATTTGATACATGCCATTTTGATACAACCTTAATTTACCAATTTTTATTCGATTAAGTAAAATTAGTAAACTCTAATTTATCAATTTTTGTTCAATTAAGTATAAAATTAGTAAACTCTAATTTACTAACTTTTATTCGATTAAGTATATAAAATTGGTAAACTCTAATTTACCAATTTTTATTCGATTAAGTAAAATTAGTAAACTCTAATTTATCAATTTTTGTTCAATTAAGTATAAAATTAGTAAACTCTAATTTACTAATTTTTGTTCAATTAAGTATAAAATTAGTAAACTCTAATTTACTAACTTTTATTCGATTAAGTATATAAAATTGGTAAACTCTAATTTACCAATTTTTATTCGATTAAGTAAAATTAGTAAACTCTAATTTATCAATTTTTGTTCAATTAAGTATAAAATTAGTAAACTCTAATTTACTAACTTTTGTTCAATTAAGTATATAAAATTGGTAAACTCTAATTTACCAATTTTTATTCGATTAAGTAAAATTAGTAAACTCTAATTTATCAATTTTTGTTCAATTAAGTATAAAATTAGTAAACTCTAATTTACTAACTTTTATTCGATTAAGTATATAAAATTGGTAAACTCTAATTTACCAATTTTTATTCGATTAAGTAAAATTAGTAAACTCTAATTTACTAATTTTTATTCGATTAAGTAA